TTTCATCAGGATCAGGTAAGAAGATGCATCTAATGTTACTCTTGGTTAAGAATGCATACTCATGGTATTATTTAATTGCATATTGTGCTGTGTAGTAGGAAGTAAATTTTAAAAGTTATTCTTTTATATGGTTGTTTCTAATTTCTAAACTTGTTGCTATTTTAACAGTAATGCTATTTCTCTTGAGTAGTCTGTATTTTAACTGCTATGCTTTCCTCATTCCTCTCATACTATAAGTAGCAGAATACTGTAATAATAGTAATACTAATGTAAACTTAACAGCATAACATACCAAATAAGCCAATTTCTAACACATCCTATAATGCCATTCCAAATTCAGATTCTTCTTATTACAGTTATTTGAGTCTTTACAGTGCATGTGTGTATTAATAATTTCAATTTATCATCATCATATTAATTCTCACTGTGTCTTTCCATTAAAGCCAAGTTCAGTGTATAACCTGACGGCATCTGATGTTACTAATACAAGTGTTAAACTGAGTTGGAGTTTTGATCCTCCAGTCACTGGTGGAGTAGTATCATATGCTGCTGTATCTAACGGTTTTGGTAATGGAATGCAATCATTTACTGGAGGAAATGTTATGGAGCAAATGATATTTAATCTTGAACCATTCACTGTCTATAATTTTAGTGTCACTCTACTGAATACTTTTGGTGGTAGATCTAGCAGTAAAGTAACTATCAATACTGAAACTCTACCAAATGGTAACTTAAATTTTAAAATATATTTATTTATTCTTGTCAAACATGCATAGTTCCTACTGCTCCTACTCTTATCAGTGCTGTGTCTATTAATTTAACATCTATTTCAGTCAGTTGGAGAGTAAGTATGATCAGCATGAACACAGTTTAACACATTACATAGATCTAGTAGCATACTGTATCAATTTATTAACTAATAGTAACAAGATAATTTTATGAATATTTGTAGTAATTAATGTTATATTAAATATTTATAGAGCAATATAGATCCATTAACACAATCAAAGGAGGTGCTGTATACAGTGATCTATTACACAGAAGGACAGCAGAATAATGAATTGAATGTAACTGCTCCTGCTAATATAGTGACAATAAATGGTCTTACTGAAGAGAAAAATTATTTAGTGACAGTATCTGCTACTAACAG